GAAGGGGCTTAGGTCAATCTCTATCCCCTCGCTCCTTATCCCTCTCCCTTCTTACGTTCTCCCACCCCACTCCTCTCTCACTCTCTTGCTATTGATGTGTCTCGCTCTATCTCTCGCTCTCTCTGTGTCTCTCCACTATATCTCGGTCTCTCTCGGTCTCTCTCTCTCTCTCTTCATCTCACGTTTACACCTTCTCACTTAATTATTACAGATGAGTAGCGTGACGCTAAAGAGTGAGCGACAGCGGGAGAGAGAGAAGAAAGTTAACGGCCGAAATGAGAGCGGAAACACGAAGAAAAACCTGGTGCCAATGAAAGAGAGCCAGGAAGGAACATATTGAGTTGGAGAGAAATAGAGAGCTAGAATTCTTAAGCTGGAGCTAGAGCTTGAAACTCAAAGCTAGGGCTAGAGCAAAACTTGAGTTAAGAGCTCGAGCTAGAGCTAGAGCTAGAGCTAGAGCTAGAAAAACAAACAGAATCAGGCTTGCAGAAGCAATGAGGACCCCAAAGAATTTTACCCTATCTGGAGTAAAATATTGGACTCTGTGACTCCCCCACGCGCGCATTCCGATGCGCCGCCCAGATGATGGATGGAAGGGCGGTATAACGATTATACCGATTTTTTTTCAGGCTATGCCCTAGTCTTCGCAAAAAAATTTAAAGCTGGTAAAGATAACTGTAAAATACATCACGATACCAATGGCTTGATTCCAAGCGTTAAGAGTAGCCACACAAAAGTTTGCCTACAGTGAAGCTTCAAACCCATTGACCACCGAGGGGGTAGACGCCGCGGGAAGTCGGCCTCTTCCGGTGGACATCGGGTCCTCTAATCAGCCAAGAACCCTCACCGACCGCCCCCTAAAAAGTGGGCCCGAATCATTTCCGAGCCAATGACATGCGGGTTGGTGACGGACAGGAGGGAATTGTGACTTTTGAGAATTCATCATGGACCTGACGGAATTCTGCAGGAGTGAAAGAGCACCGTCCAAGAGAGAGAGAGAGAGAGAGAGAGAGAGATAGCTAGAGGTAGTGGGAGAGAGAGAAAGAGAGCGCCTGAAAGAGAGAAAACGAGAGAGGGTAAAGAGATAAACATCGAGCTGAAGGTGCGATGAAGAGAAGAGCGAGAGCGAGATACCAACAAATCCGTTTTGAACCTAAGTACAGGTTTTTTGGATCCCCAAATCCGATAAACTTATCACTCTTGTACCGATTATTTCTTACCCAAGCCAAAAACATAAAAATCAGGATCCCCAGGAGAATGAATACCGTATCCAGTCAAATGACGAGGCAGAAAATTAGGGGCAATTCTGGAAATTTTAGAGAATTCAAAAATTGTAGCTAAAATAGGGATCCACGCCAGAGAGAAAGAGTGAGAGAGAGAGGGAGAGAGAGAGAGAGAAAGAGCAGGGACGAGAGAAAAGAGAGAGAGAGGAGAGCGATAATTTTTAAAGGAACAGAGAGTGCATCAAAGAGTATCGTCCCAAAACCCGACAAATTTGGACTCCCAAATGAAAAAGATTAATTTGCAAAAGCCGCCATTGTCTGCCAGTCCACAGAGCCAATTATACTGGATGTGGTGGGAGGAGTAGCCGTGTGTAATAAGATTAATAACAACCCCGTCGAGCTATTACGAAAACCCCCCATCTACCCGCATCTTTTGAAACCCCAATGAAAAGCAGCTTGAAAAGAGCTTTATTAAAAGGTGGGGATGCGCGATAGTTTATTTGACCGGGGCCGACGTGCCGCATTTAATTGCAGGCCAAGCGCTTCTGCTCGGCGCATTATTTCAGATTTTGTGGCGGTTTTGCACGTGCGGTGTGACCGCTGGGGGTAATCCGACTGGTTTCTAGAGGCAAGCTGGACAATTTTAAAGGATGGCGACCGAAGGGCCACTTCTATGCAGGAGGAATGCTAAATTACGATAAGCTCCTTCAAACGAATTTATCCGTGTTCCGTGAATGCGTCGCGTGCGTGCTGCGTCGCATTTTGCTCCGCAAACACAGGAACATTGGCTGTGATAGCATGCAGCGAGATAGAGAGAAAGAAAGAGAGAGAGAGAGAGAGAGAGAGAGAGAGAGAGAGAGAGGAGAGAGAGAAGTAGAGAGAGATATTCCAATCGCAAAATAAAGTGCAGCACATGCGTCAATATTCCGCCAAAGTGCGGTCATCCGCTCCCTGAAAAAGCCCTTCTCATCTGCAGAAATTCGCGGCATTGTTTTGGGCTGTTGGGGCGTTGCAGAATGACATTAGGGATTCTGGGGGGTTGATCGAAGAAAAGAGGGACAGAGAGAGAAAGACAGCTTTGAATAACATAAGGTCAAAGGGAAAGCAGAAGAATTTGTAGAGTGAGGTAAACTTTTGGAAATCAAGAAACTTAGAAGAAGTTTAGTACAGCAGAATTGTTCCCCTATGATTGAAAATCCGAGGGAGAGAGAGAGAGAGAGAGAGAGAGAGAGAGAATGAAAGAGAGAGAATGAAATTTTTACAAAATCATTTCTAAATCCTATTAAACGCCATCCTCAAACTGATCTATGAAACACCGCCCAGTCAGCTCCACCAACATTCCGCGCGACTTGGCCCATTTGGAGAGATTTCTTTTGAGCCGGACCCCGGAATTTCAGCTTCCCACCCCACCCCCAAAAAAGTGTAGTTAAAGGAACAGGAAAGCCACGGATAGGATTTTGTTACCAAGGGCCCACCATTCTTTTTTGAAGTCCGCGACACATCTGCTTACCCACACCTGCGGCGCTGATGCCCACAAAAATGCCCCGAATCGGCTGCCAAATCCACATCCTAACCCCCTCTAGACACGCCTTGCCGGTCCCCTTAACCCGCCAGACGTTACGGGCTATATTGGCTAAATTAAAGTCCACACTATCTGAATCCTGCTGAGTACATTTTGCCCATTTAAGACACCGGAATCCGGCGCCCATTTCGGCGGCGCTGTTTGACGTTTTTGGGCCCGAAAACGTCAAACGCTCGAATACAAATTCTTCGGGATGTTCCTCCCTCCCTCCCTCCCCTCGCTGGCCCACTACCCCGGAAAAACACACGCAATGTGGGTACACTGGGGTTTGACAAAAACTCGCTGCAGATTTGGCCTATTTATAGCAATGTAGTAGTCATCCCAGAATGGCAAAAATTAGCGGGACCGGCAAGCGGTGGCTATCGGTCTTTGGTTATGGATTTTCACGCACAGGCGACGCGCACACTGCACTCACGAGAAAACTTGTGGTCCACTCACGCAGTGAAACAAGATCGAGTGCGTTGCGTTGCGTGGCGCGGTACTGGAAAAATAGGGAATCCACAGACACCAAAATTCATAAACTAGACTTTTCCATGCCTTTAAAGAACTATTTCGTGGGGTCGATGTTTTTTTGCCTTTTGGGGACTAAAATGGACCGTAACTTTTTCAAAATCCGAGAATTCAGCAAATCTGAAAACAGATACGGAATCAGCGCAAAATTTATTTTTCAAATTATTTTTCAACATTTTATTTTTTTTATTTTACCCAGAGTTTAGAATTCCGCACCCGATCCCGCTGGCTTTGGATCTCAGAAAAATGAACAGACTCAACCGGATCCTTGTCTATCCCTTCCCCCCTTCATCTCACCATCTCATTACCGCTTGCGAAATTGGGTAATGTGGATGAAAGCGAGAGGAGGAAGAGCAAAATTCCGCTTCAAAAGCAGGACAGCGCAGGAAATCGTGGACCCGGAAATCGCAGTAAAGGCTGATAATGAGGAAAGCCTGAGGGTTGGGTCTGCGCTCCCTTTTCGTTCATCCAGGGCATCACGCTACCCCATAAAGCTTCGCACTTTTCAGGCATGGGGCCAGAAGAAACCCGGGCAAATATGGACCCAGATGGAAGCGGGTAAATGGCAGCTGCAAGAAAGCGAATAACATTTTTATGCTGTTTTAAAGGGGTCAGCAGGGATGTGGAATTTTAGTTTAAACAGCTAACTAGGGAAGTGCAAATAAAAAATCTGGAGAAATCGCTTAGCAAAAATATAAGGTCGGATAAGTCGACGACGGGGATTCCGAAACTGCAATCAGAATTTGATATAGCAATACAAAAGTTATGAGCCATTTTAAGTTTCAGCACTTTTCTCGCCCTCCTTATAGGCCCCTCCAAAGACGGGTGTCCGCATGTCGAGTGGTGTAGTGGCTAACTAGCCTGCCTGGGGCGGAGGGTCTTTAGTTCGGCTCCCCCAGTCATGCCAAATTTTAAACCTTTTGGTCAAAGTCAAGAACTTTAGACTTTTTCAAAGTTCCAAAGTCGAAAGCCCCGTCCTCTTAATTTTAAATTCAGAAACCGATTACGAAGTGGTGGCGGGAGTGCAAGTACTGCACTTCACCCGTGCACGCCCGTACGGGAGTACGGGCAGGGTACTAAAAAAATTCACCTCTGTTTTTTCGTAAGGTAAGCCTACACGCAGTCTATAGTAAAGAAAATGTTCAAAATTTAAATTTCGGACTTCGAAACTTTGAAAAAGTCTAAAGTTCTTGACTTTGACCAAAAAGCAAAAAATTTGGCATGACCGGGGAGCCGAACCAAAAGACCGGCTCCGCCCCAGGGCAGGCTAGTTAGCCACTACACCACTCGACATGCGGACACCCGTCTTTGGGAGGGGCCCATAAGGGAGGGCGAGAAAAGTGCTGAAAACTTAAAATGCTCATAACTTTTTGTATTAAGCGTTTTGCAAATTCTGATTGCAGTTTCGGAATCCCCGTCGTCGACTCTATCAAACCCATATTTTTGCTAAGCGATTTTCCAGATTTTTTATTTGCACTTCCCTAGTAAGCAATCTCTAAAGGCGGTGCCTACAATTGTAATTGCCTTTTAAACGTATACCCATCTTTATCCGAAAGCGTAACAGTAAAACATAAAAACAACGGGCAACAACGGGTGGGCACAATCACATTGAAAACACACAATTTCGACTATCAGAAACGATTCACCGCATCGAAAACAGGGGCAACAGAAAAACAGAAAAATTAGTCCTTCTTGGACAGCCGGCAGATCGGCGTCTTCCGGATCATCTCCAGGTCGACCTTTGCCCCGAACAGGTCCCGAATGTTGTTGATGCCGTACCGGATCATTGTTGGCCTAGAATTCATAAATATTTTTATTCGTACTCCAACGCACCGTTCCAACGACAGCCCGTATCCAGCAACATTCACGTCTTCTGGCAGTCCCATCGGCAACAGCATTTCCGGTCGGAACATGCCGCTGTTGCCAATCTCAACCCATTTTTTCAAGCCCTAAGATCAATATAAAAGACTAAAAGAGGGATGCACCTGGTGGTAGGCGAAAATTTCCATGCTCGGCTCGGTGTAGGGGTTGTAGGTGGGCTTGAATTTCAGCCCTTCGATTCCGAGCTTCTTGAAGAATTCGGTGAAGATGCCGATCAGATGGGCCAACGACAGGTTTTTCTCGGCAATCACGCCCTCTACCTAAAGCAAGATAATTGTTGTCGTAGGCTCATTCGACCTGGTGGAATTCGGCGAGATGTGTCGCGTCCAGCGTCTCATTTCGGAAGACCCGATCGATGGAGAACATTTTTGATGGTTTGAAGCCCTAAAAATAACTCAAGAGATTCAGCGACTGATTATACCTCTTGCGCTAGAGAATAGAGTTGACGTGCAGAGACGGCCGTCGTATGAGTGCGCAGTACATTTTCTGGGCCTCTTCCAGCTTCCAATCATAATTATACCTAAAAACAGGGAAATAAAGCAAACCCCGACAAGGCATACCCGATTGAGCCGAAGCCGCCTTTGGAATGGACCGTCTTCACTCGTTCCAAATAATCCGTGGGGAACTTGGTGCTGATTGCAGGGTCTATAATTGGTGCGTTTTCAAAAAGTTTGGAAATTTACCTGAAATGAAGAAAGTGTCGTGCGCATCGCGAGCTGGATGTTGTTGAGGCTGGAAGAGTGCGTCGAAATTCCAGAACGAGCTCTCCACGTAGCGATTCGTCGGCATTTCGGTGAAGCCCATTTGGAAGAAAATTTGTCGGAACTCGGCGCGGACCTAATGATGAGAGTAACAAAAGACATGGAAAAATTAACACCTTCATCAATGGGTGTAGGTGACCACTGGAGGGCTGTACTCCAAGCGCTTCAAAGTTGTACTTCTTGAAGGTCTTCTCCTTCCAGCTACCGCTAAAATCGACAAAAATCAAGTTAATTTAGGCGCATACGATACCTTTGAATCATTTCTGCGGTCAGATCGAGTTCAGGTTTGACGATTTCCGTCGTGAAGTTGGGTCCCTTCTCGACAATCAGCCCTCTAACCGTAACCTCATTGATGAGCTTGCGCTTCTTCAGCTCGGTCTTATCTTTTGCGTCGACCTCTTGGCCAAGGCTGATTTGTTCCAATTGTTCGCGAACCTAAAAAGAACAAAAATTTTATGTTCAAAGCAGAAAAACGCCCAAAAACGAACCTTATCAACAACGGCGTCAGCCGCCATCTTTCCGTACCAACCGAACCTCGGCGCCATTCTTCTCGGTAGCGATCCATTTTGCAGCTATCGCCTTCGCCATGCCCACTTTGCCGATTGGCAACTTCTAAAGAAAAAGACATCCGAAATCCCAAAAAAATCCGTACCATGAGTTCTCCCTGGGGCAACCCTTCGTCACCAATCGCTACGAACACGTTGTATTCGTGCGAGCCATTTGTCGCCATTTCCTGTCCCTCGTTGGTCAGCTCGGTCCGCTTCTCGGATGTCTCGGACACGGTGACCAGCTAAAACCCAAAGTAAAAAAACCGTCCAATAAAAACCTACGCCATCCTGCGCGATCAGACTCTTCACGGCGCCGATCAGCTTCTGGTGATCAAGACCAAGCTCTTCCGCTAGCGCGATCGAGTTGAAGGAGCACCCGTTTTGGTCAGATGGTTGAGCAGGTATCTGGAATCGTTCATAACAATGGAGTTGCCGACTCACTGTGGCAAGTTGTCTCCGAGCTCCATATCGTCGGTTGGCTGCTTGCTTGGCTCCTGCTTGAATGACGCGATATGTCGATGCCACCGGGCTAGGTTAGCTTTTCCGCCAAGCTCTTTCACCGGGACGCTCTTGAACACTTCAAAGTCCCGGTCGCTGATGGTGTACCTGAAGTCTATTTATCTAGGTAAGATCGATGACTAACCCGTCGACGTACGGGTAACTGGCGAGCTTCTCGTTTAATTGAGACCACTGGTCGGTCATCCAGCGTCGGCGAGGACCTGTAAATGGGTATATGTATTATCGATGATGTAACTGGAGCATATAGGCGTAAAATATTGCGCTAGGATGATGTAAGCGATGAAAGGCGATGTTTTGGGTTAGAGAAAAAAATCACAGCTTAAAACGAGGTTATATATTTTTATTAGCGATGCAGGGATTTTCGGAAATCACCATTAGTGTTTTATTTGTATTTTTTTTCAACTTTCGATGCAATTTATCAAACATCAAGACTGCATAATGGCACCCACCAAAGAACCGAGTCGGCCATCATGGTGTCCGTGGCAGGACTCGGCCCCGTAGATCCCGCGCAATCAAAGCGCCCTTTGGTGGACTATGAGGGGCAATGTCAACGGTAAAACATCTGCCCCACCCATCTTTGACGAAAGTAGCATCAAAAATTGGCTAATGTAATGCTCAGATGAAGCTCGGCTTCAAAACCAGATCCCCTATCCCGTCCTTCGCGGTCAAACAATTTTATGTTTTTAAATACCCTTAAACTTCCGGTCGTCCACCACCTGTAATTCCATTCAGATGTCGGCTCCATCGCGGGAGAGAACGGGCGAATCTCGATATGGATTACGAGAATCCGCAAAGGTATCGTTAACTGGTGAAAATCAATGATCTCTCCTAGGTCTCAGCTCGATTTCGAGAGTACGCGGAGAGTGAAGCTGTACGACGTTCGCCAGCCAAACGTCGATCTTCCCCACTAAAACGCCCTACTTCCAGCCAAGTTGGTTACTTTCTAACCAAACGGATCTTCTTAGTCGAAACCCGGCCCGTCACGTACCAGTTTACCGCCCGCCCGAGCCCTGCCACAACAGGAATACGATAACTTACGTGATGACTATGAGTTTGAGGTAGTATTACGTTTTCGAAATGTAGTTCGGACTTAGGAAACGATCGCTGAATCGATGCCCAGCTACTCGGCCAGCAGTCAATTTCTCGATCAATCTGCAGTAACGGTGGACAGCTATGATGCTCCTTTTGCCTACGAGGTACGAATACAAGGTTACCAACATCTTATATTTTTAGATTAATGGAAGTGAGCCAAGAATCGCCGTCGGCCGAGCCCCCGGTTCTTCAGGTTTGAACTCTACAATGATTTCTCAATCTTATTTTAGCAACCAGAAGTGCGAAGCCGTCTGCCAAGACACCCGGGACTTTCCGATAACATTAACAACTATCTATACAGGTTTGAAGTAGGATACTAATGACAAAACACGATTTCAGGATGAAAAACGTGCTAAAGTTGCCGAAAGCTCGTCGCTGGGTGCACTGCGAGTTCTTCTATTCGGCCATCGATGATCAGCTGTTCAACGCGGAGAATGAATTTTCACAATGCTTGCGGTAAGTAAGGGGCTCCGTGAATGATATTCATTTTTAGGGAATACTTTCCAAACCTCAAAACACGTTGGCTGCGAAGAAGTGAATGGCGGGCCATCCGGAAGCTTGATTGGAAAGCCGAGAAGGTTTGACTTAGCCGACATCATGAAACGTCTTTTTTTAGGTGCAGTCCAGCATTCTTGGAAGAGGAACGACACCAGCTCGAGTTGAAACGGACAAAGATCCGCGCGGTGGGTTTCATTTAAATATTGAGGAAAATGGAAATAGGTTTGTAACGGGTCGATCAACCTGCGAAACGACTTCGATTTCCAAGACCTTCCCGCGTTGCTTCCGCGCCAGTTGGCAGTCGGTAAGCGGCAATTTTCTTCTACTAAAGCTAAGTTATAGGTATGAAAATCCATGCCCGAATCCGGCACCCAAAAGACGGGATTTACGCCGGCACCGTCGATGCCATCCTCCCCGAGGGGTATCGAATCGTTTTCGAGAGGGTAGCTTTGAGTATTAAAAGCGGTAATTTTTAATTTTAGGACGACCTACTGCAGCCGATGTTTATCCGCGACACGGAAATCATGACAGATAAGAACGTCGAGCTGCTGCCACTCACCTATTTCTTGGAGCAGAATCAGTGAGTTTCGAGAGGAATTGTTTTTGAAGATCAGGATCGATCAGTGTATTTTTGGTGATGCTCTTTCAATTACACATTTTCAGGGCGGCTCTCCCAGCTCCACTAAAAATCTCGGGCACCCCATTATTACCCGGTGGAAAGGTTGGTGACCAAAATTCTAAAAATCAGTCCCTTGATTTTCTAGATTCTCAACGACCGAACGGCCAGCCAGAGAAATGACCTCATCATGGCCACCGCCACAAAAACAGCTCGGCACCTCGGCAGCACCCGGGAAGAGTGCGTTTTGATCTAGATTTTCTTTACCCGTAGAATTTAGCCGACGAGAAAGTCGGCAACTTTCCCGTGCGCCTGCTGGTGATTCTCGTCAAATATGCGAAGCTGATCGAGTCGAAGAAGGCCTCCATTCGCCAAATAATTGAGCTCAACAATGAGGCCGAGAAAGTGAAGATGATGCAGTGCGAATACAATATCAATTTTCAAGTAACCTTTGTGAAAAGGAAAAATACGCCGTTTTAAGAATAAGTACGCCGAAGTGGTGATGGAAATCGAGCAGCTGAACAAGCACCTCAGCAACTACATGCGCGGTGTCCATGACTATCACAATCAACTGTTGCCGCAGTTATCCGAGGTTTGTTCTCAGATTTCTGGTGTATAAACTGTTCCTAGGTGGCCGTGATTTCGCGACCGGAGGCCCTGCGCAAGGTCAGCACTTCCCAAGCGGTTCAGATTGTCAAGCACTGCCGTAACCAGTTGGGAAGCCGCCAGCGCACCACCAAGGCGAACGAGCTGATCACTGGATTGACCAGCCTGCTCCTACAAGTCGGTGTTTACCTCTTTGAACCTAACCTTATTCTAGGTCCGGCAACTCGGGCAGCAGAAATGTTCAGCAATCGACCTAGAATCGATAAATGACACGATAGAGGAGTTGAGAGCACAGGTATCGCTATTTTCTATGCGGTGGCACATTCGAACCTAGATTGCTCCAGTCAATTTACGCGCTTTCGAGGACCACGTTGAGGTCCACATCAAGCAGATCCACACGATGCTCCTGCAAAGCAATATTGTCTAGATACCCAAGCTGCGCTTGCATTAAACAGTTTTCTGCCGCTCGTTTGTGCTATTGCTATATGTCCCTGTTGCCTTATTTTGTATTGAGGCAATTCCTGCCAGTCTGCCCGTGCCCAGATAAATACTTTTACCTATTGATTCATTTTGTCTTTTCAACAGCCGAGCTGAAGCAAAGAATTGCAACTTGCACTACAACACAAAACGCTGCCACTTTGGCGCCAGTACTGCAGTATGTGCAAAAGCGATGGGAATATGAGAGTAGCAGGCTCTGGCGCACAAAAAGCTCGATGCTCAGCTAGATTAGCCAAAGAGATTTTATATTTGAAACCATGTCTTTTTTTTGCGGGGAGACGATCTCCGTTAACACACGACCCCAAAAACAGTTCTATTTTTGCTGACCCCTTTGATATTTCCTTCCAATTTCATTAGCAATGCCTCGTTCTCCTTGATGCATAAAGTACCGCAACTGCCTCGTCCTCACAGACAGAGAGTTAATGCCCCCGCCCGTTTGCTATTCCACGTCCCGTCGGCAGACATCCCATTCCAAAGGGGCGCGAACCGCGATAAGATTCAGAAAACGTGGGCTAAACCTGTCGTTAGCGGTTGCAATATTTTTTGGATCGCAGATGACTGATCAGACCCAAGGAAGCTTTACGGTCGTCAAATCGCCACCGGACATCGAGAAGGACCACATCATCGACTTTGCCGAGGAGGTGTACGTGACGATTGGCGCGGATGGCCATGTTATTTCGACGGAAAAGCCGTTGGCGGTATTGAAGATTTTTCAGTTTTAAGAAAAAACGGTATTTTAGGCAATTGAAAGGGTGTTTTCCCATTATCCCGGAAATCTTCCAGAGAAGGTGAGCCAACTCACGAAAACGCCGAAAATCGAGGAGGAGCTGGAGGTAAATGGATTTTACCGACGAAAACTGTCTGCTTTCAGCTGGCCTACAATCAAGATGGTCAATTTCGGATCAAGAGCGTTCTACTCTACAATCCTGGAGTGCAGGGCTACCAAACTGTGAGTAGTTTGCTAGATCCATTAATTATAGAGTTTAGAATTGTATCCTCGGCTGCTCGCAACTCTGCGTGGTTTGTGACCGAGTGATTGAGAAGGGCGAGGTAGTTCTGACGTTTCGGTGAAACGTATTTTTAGATGTTCCTCAACTTTCCGAAATGTCTGGATAAGCGACGCGTGTGGGGCGGAATTCTCGGCTTTGAGTATAAGGTATTTTAGCGCGGAAAATTTTAACAGGCATTTTAGGACATGCTTCGTGTGAAGAATTCCAAGAAGATGAGTGAGCTTCCGATTTGCACGGACCATTTTTCCGAAGAGTGCTTCCGGCAATTTGAATTTAATAAGGTGAGCGCAGTTATCGAGTTTTTTTCGTACGCGGCGTGATTTTTCACTCCTGCTAGCTTGAAAAACGCGTACTAGCTATCTTATTAGCTTTCATTGCTTACAACGTTACTTATTATTTTGCTTTCAGACGGCCATCGAGGCGTTCGGCGTTCCAAAAGGCACCTCCCAAAAAAAGCTGCCGGTGATAATGTAAGTGGAATTTTACTAATTTTCAAAATGCGTTTTTCAGGAAACCTTGGAGCTGTACCGTTTGCAAGTTCAATTCGTATAGTGTAGAAGTCACTCAAAAACACATGGTGAGTCGACAAATTCGCCAAACTTATCTATATTTTAGCTGAGCCACGGCAGCGACGGCGAGCTGTTCATTGGCAACCGTGGCGTTGCTTGCCCATTTTGTCAAAAGTGCAATTACGTCTACAAGACGGGGCCCGGGCTTGTCAGGCATCTCTCGGACCCGCCGTTGAAGCATGGATTGCTCAAGTAAGTGTGGATTGACTGTAAAACGCATTTTTGTTTGTACTATCTGATCCTGATATTTCCAGGAAAATTCACGATGACGCCAAGCTCCACTGCCGCAGCGCCCATCTCGAGCCGGCGTTGAATTGGGAATCGTGGACGAAGGAGAACGTCTGGTGCGTAGTCAAAAACTATGTATTCACCGCCCATTACCTGTTTTAGCGCCATAATGCCGAATTTCATTATACCAGAATTTTAATAAGAAAGATGCACTTATGTATTATGAGAATTCGGCTTTATAACGATAACGTTTTTAGCTTGGCTTACTACGGATGCATCCCAAAGGAGTTGGGAAGCCCGAACAAGGTGGTTGCCGTGCCGCCCGTCTCGCCGTTGAAGCCAGCAAAACGACTAGCGCCCGAGATTATGTAAGCACCTTTTCGAGGCGTTTTCCTTTAGAATACGCTCGGAGTTGACTGAAATTTTATTTTTAGCGCCTCCGCGTCCTGTACGCCACAAAAGGTACCGCATATCCAGGCGCAACCCTCCGTCAGCTACGTGGTAATTTTCAGTTTCCGAATTGCAACCGTCCCAATCACTTTCAGGCGCCACTCGTACTTCCGGTTCACGACCAAGGTGTCTACGAACAATCGCGAGGTTTGCACGATCTTTCGACGCCTCTAATCTTCCTATCCTCAGAAAACGAAGATGGCGCCCGGTCTACGTTGAGCCGGAATGGCCTGCCGAAGAACTACCAATTCGTGCACTCGGCCCAGGATCTCGGGCTCACACAGTTGCAGCAACGACAAGCCGATTCGATCGAGGCTAGGTAAGTCAAGCCTTTGGTCATCCACCTAAATTTTTTTCAGAATCCGATTGTTCGGGGCCGAGGAGCCGGAAGAGTTGCCGACCGGCTACCTGCACGTTGAGACGACAGACGGGTCGCGTCTTGTACGTGCCCGCCGCAACGCGATCCCGATTCTACGCCGCCACGCGTATCAAGAACCATGATAACAAATACTTAGACATCATGCATTTTAAATTCCTAAATTGTACCACTGCCCCGGTTATTGTTTTGTTGTTTTGATCCTCGAGAATCCAAGTAAATGTCGTGGTTCTATGATTCTACCTGCTGGCGACCAAAAGTCCTACTCAGCGATCGTTGTTATATTCATGTTATGTTATATTCTTTTGTCATTACCGTTTTCAGCGTATAAATTTTATTCCGATCTTGACAAAAGGAAATATAGAATGGGGGCAAATACCCGAAAAGTGGAAGAGTCTCAAAGTTAATGAGGGAAGTCGTACTCCCTGGCCATTTCGATGTGCGAATTAGAAATTGCAATATTGGGGTAATGGGGGGTAATAAGTCGGTCGGCAACTAGAACAACGGGAAACCGGAATGCGCGAGGAAAAATAGAAAACGAAATGGGGGCAGTGGGGGAGAAAAGTGCCATTTTTGCTGCAAAAAGGGTAAATACTCCGTGAACGGGGCTAAAAGGATTGTGAAGGCAGTGTTTCCGATTGTCAAAGCCAATAAACGTAAAATTTCCCTTCAAAATCCCTTTAAAACTGATAAAGCTTTTGCCGTGGCGTCTGCGCATTTTTGGCATTCTGATTATGTGAAAAATGGGGTGTAGCGCAAAATAAAGACAAGGGAATGTCGAAATCACAAAAAAGGCAAACAAACAAAAATTCTGAAAGCTGGAGCGGGTGTCTGCTCTCCGGCTCACTAGCCGTGAAATTCAAGGAGGGCAGTAAATTCAATATGTCGGTTTGAGCCGATGGTTTCGAGGAGGAAGAGCTAGGCTTGGCTCGGTTTAACCAGCGGTAAAAACAAAGAAAAGTTACACGAAAGCACAAAATACAACGCACAAAGGAGCAGCACGTGGCTCGGTTTCGGGCTACGTGGTGTTTCTTTGCACCATGACTCGCTGTGCTTTCACGGATTTTTAGATTTTGGATGTCAAAAGATGTTAGGTATGGGTTTTAAGGATATTTAAGGTACAACATAGGGCGGGGGCAGCTTCTGCACGGGCGTGCCTGCGTGCCCGGGCGTCGAGTTGCGCGGCTGGAAGGACTTGGTGTACTCGCCGGGTGGCTTGTAGAGGGGATTCTCGTGGTGCGATATCTGCAAGATAGGTAATTTTATGTTACCACGAGAACGATCGAATTTTTTTTGGGTTTTACTACACCTACCTTCAACGGCGGTCTTTCCTCCTTGACAAGCATTGGCGTGTTAGCAGCCGCCGTGTCCGACTCGTCGGCAACCTCTTCCGGAAACACGACGGGCAGTCCCTTGGAGACGAACTCGGACGGCTTCTCCTTCTTCGGCTTCTTTGACAAGCAGCAGCACAGCGCGATGGCGACAAGGAGCAGGAGCAGGGCCAAGGCGGCCGCTAGGGCCAACCAGCCGAAGCCTGATTCACGAGACGGCTTGTCGACGGACGGGGATGAGGTATCCGTGTCGATGGTTTGCTTCTTGCAGCCTCCTAAATTTTATTAGTTTTAAATTTTTAAAGCATTTTAAGGCATTTTACTTCTTGCTTGCCATGCAACCCACCTAGCAAGTCCAACCCAATTCGGCGAATCATGTACTGGGCGCTCATGGCACGTGTAAAGTCCGTCTTCGGCTTGTTCTGCTTCTTCGTGGCCATCACCAGCTTCATCGCTTCGAGATCGTCGACGGGGCACGTCTTCTCGGCGTTCAGCGTGGTGTTGCTCCAGTAGATGACGGCACGCCCCTCGCCGTCCTTTTCGAGGCGTTCGATGGTCACGTTTTCGGTGGATGCTGAATGGGATTGATCGTAAGAAAAAAGGTTTTTGCTAAAAAAATAATATTCGGTGAAGTTTTAAGGGCTAAAAAAGGCCATGGCATATTTTTCGACACTGTATTGAGTTAAAAAAGAGTTTTCGTTTTTGAAAATGCCTTTCACATCGCTGTATCGGATAGTCACCGCGACTTACATCCAGGGAAAGCTGAGGCGAGCTGCTTGACAAAGCCGACGAGCTGGTGCGGTTGAGTGAGGAGACGCTCTCCTTGAGGACGGTCCATGATAAAGTAGAAGTGATGGTTGGCGATGGCGGATGGCTGCACGCTGACGATGAACGGGGCGGAGACCATCTGAATTTCACCATTTTTCTCGTTTTTCCGGTTTTTAAAATATCTTTGAATTTGAATGCTTTTGAGCAAGCGTAGTCGCCTGTTTCTGTCTACGCCTCTGTTCCTCTACTTGGTCAAGTTTTTCAACCTCCTCACCTGGTTGCTCTTATCACGCGCCTCCAGCCGCATCTCAAACTCGCCGACCTCGAGCGGCACCGCCGAGATTTGCATGTTTTCGGCCTAAAAACTGGAATAAAATAAGGTCATCTACTGCCCACCTTGATCCAGTTGGCCTGGCCGGCGATGGCGTGGATCTGGAGCTTCAGCTTGTTCGTCTCGCCGTCCTCCTTGTCGACGAAAAGCTTGGCGGGGATGGTCAGGGTGCAGAGGTGCCCGCTGGAAAACCAGGGTTTTGGACAGTTTTTCTATCTCTCACTCTTGCTTTCTCTCATTCTCTCTCTCTCATTCTCTCTCTCGCTCTCTCTCTCTCTCTCGCCTTGTTCTATCCTATAAGCTCCAAATGTCTCCTCAATTCCGATTCATTGCAAGAGACACGCGCCAACCAAGCGAACGCCCAATAAAGCCGTGATTTGAAATTGGTCATTTCCATGGGGGTCTAATCTCAAATTCCCTGCCCCACCACGAAACACCATTTTATGGGGCCCTCCCCGCTTTCCCTTGAAAAGCGGAAGGGCGGCGGGGGGCAGATGGTACGGGGAATCCCTATGCACGCGAGCTGCTTATAATAGGGTACTACGAGAGTGCGCAAGTGCAAGAGCGAGAGAGTGAGAGAGAAAGCGAGAGAGCGAGAGACCGGCAAGCGGATGCACCATATTTGTGGTCACGCCATGGTTTGGGGCGGAAGTTACGGAGCGTGCTTTCTACAAACTTGCCCCCACCCCTGTCATTTGTTTGCTTGCGTACACCTTGCCCTGAGGGCGGGAATTGGGGTCAACCTCCGAGAAATTTTGTTATCGCCTTTTAATGGGCCGGGCAAGGCATCGATATGGATCTTCATGCTCTAGTTTGTTAACGGGGGGGGGCATTTACCACAACGCGCACTCGACGCGTTCACTACTGCTGAACGACTGAGGGCATTTCAAGAAACTGCCCTACCGTTTGCACTGCATCGACGACAGCGAGGCCATCTTCGCCGGTGCCGAGTCGGCCGAGTTGCGGGCGGTCGTTGTCCGGATATTTCGGCGCGTCGTCGTCTTCACAGGCGTCGTCGTCGTCTCCAAGGCTTCGAACGCCTCCTCCGGGGCCCCGGTCGAGAAGTCGAACGTCGAGATGATGTCCTGACCGCCGTTGCGCTCCTTCCGGGTGCGGACGCGGCCTCGGAAAACCGCAACATCGGCCGCCTTGATCTCGTCGAGCATCTCGATAAGTCGGCTCATCACCTCGAGCGTCTCGGGCGGAACGTCTTGGTCAAGTTCGCTGCCTTCGACACAGCCACCCTGGAAATTGGAGATTTTGGGGTTCCATAGCGATTTCTGCTAGCCTGGACAGTCGAAGCCAAAAGCCCAAGCCTAACCCTTACCGGCACGACGACGTGGAACGGCTTCGCATAGCTCTCGGCCTCTCCCTCTTCCTCCATGTCGATCTTTGTCACGTTCCGCACGAATTTACCGTACACCGGATCGTAGACCTGCAAAAATCGGATGAAGCTAAATTTGCACATTTTGCATTTTCATCCCATGCCGGTTATTTTGGTTGTGTTTTTTGTTAGTTGAATTTCTGGGGGCAGGGTTTTATGAAAGGAACACCCCATGCGGGTGAAAATGGGGGTAGACTTCTTAGTCAAAGGTTTTTAGATTCCACTCCATTCCTCTGGCCACCTTTCTCATTCTCTCTCTCTCTCTCTCTCTCTCTCTCTCTCTCTCTCTCTCTCCCTCTAGCGCGCTTTTTCTGTGTCTCTCCCTCTCTACCTTTATCAGACGAAGAAATTCGGGGTGCGAGAGCATCTGAAAGGGATTAGAAAAGAATTAGATATGCTAATTTTCCAGCTTTTTAGAGATTTTTCTATTTTTAACTCGCGTAATCCATTAGATTTTCGTTGCGTAACCGAATATGCCTTTTTCAGATTTATCTAGCGTAATCGAAGTCAAACATTGATTTACCATGCGTAATCGACCGCAATTATCATCTCTAGAGCACATTTTTACAAAAAAGATACTTTAAGCGCAAATAAGCTAAAATTTTTGTATTTCCTGGCGGAACCTATCAAAAATTTGTTTCACATAGCGTAATGTATTATCCAAAACTGACCCGAATTTTGGCGAGGTCAATCTCGGCGTGCTGGTGAATGGTCTCGGCGGCTTCGACCATTTCCGCGATGCCCTCCGATCCCTCGTAGATGGCCTCGATCCAGAAGGAGTCCTGCATAATTTCCATAATTAAAACGGGCCTGTTTTAAGTACGTAGTTTTAATTAATATAGTTCATTTTTAAGTAAATTTTGTTATAGAAATTAGGATATTTTAAAAAAGTACCGTCTCGCCGCAGGGGTTTTGGTACTCCTCGGAGACGCGGAACTCGATCACGGCTTCTTTGCCCTTGGTCGTCACCTGAAAATTGAAAGTTTTGATTTTAGATATTTTTAACCTATTTTTAAAACCGATTTACTTGCTTTCGAAAGTAAATTTTTTTAAAAGGAAATAAGAGAAAAATGGGTTTAAAATATTTTGATGACACAATCCCTTTAAGGTGCATTAATGACTGGTTTTTTCCTCAACTTTTAAAAAATTAGGGCCCGGTTGTACCAATTTTTACCATCAAATTCTCCAAAAACCGACATTTCCCACATGGCCAATTGGTAGTGCGTTAGCCTGTCAGTGGCACGACCCGGGTTCGATTCCCGGCGAGGCCAAATTTTTTGCTTTTTGAGTGAGCACACATTTTTCGTTGATCTCACCTGAATCAGATGCTTCCCGACGTCATCCCTTCCGGGGAGCACCAATAGAGCGTCCTTGTCGAGGGCCATCCACGAGGGCAGTTCCCCACCACCGGCCACCTCAACTTCCGCTCCAGCGTCAAGTTCGACGCGGCCAACCTGAAGCATTTGGATTGTTATATCTCGAGATTTTGAGAACAAAACCGTACTATAGACGCCTGGTTGCCCAATCCCGTTAAAAGCCCAAAATCCTCACCTCGCCGACGAACAGCTTGACCTCCTTGGGGATGAGGGCCCGGCCGGTGGTGGCCAGTAATAATAGGAGCAAGATTTTCATCTGAAAAATTGATGGGTGAAACTGATTGGGTTTTTTGAGGACAGCAAAATCAGAAAAACGCCAGAAACAGAAAATCGTCTCGTTTTAAAGGGATGGCGACAGATAAAATTCATGAAAATTCGCTAGTCCTGCCTTGCCAGTCCCTTTAAAATAAAAACCCAGTTTCGAATGGCAACAATAAGGGATTGGGGTCAAATCAAATGAAGGATGATGGCCATTTGAGGGGTTAGGGAAGGGGGGAGGGGCGGGATTCCGATCGTAAAGCCAGTAATGGGCCCCGGGTAGGGGCTAGAGCCATAGCGGGGCAGGTGGCCCATCCCAACGGCCCGGGAGACACGACAGAGAGAGACCACCTTTGGTCTCGACAGGAGATCTCCACAAAAATTGGGCTAATTTTGGGACTAACGTTCGGCTCCGGTGGGTCGGCTAGCAGTGATTTTTGGGGGAAAGTGGGTTAGCAGAGAGATTTACGGAAAAATTGAGCTAGCAGGGATTTTTAGGGGAAATGCGGGTTAGCAGGGATTCTTTCGGAAAGGCGAGCCAGCAGGGATTTTTAGGGAAAGCGAGCTAGCAGTGAATTTCATGGAAGAGTGAGCTAGCTGGGATTCTTTTGGAGTGGCGAGCTAGCAGAGATTCTTAGTGAAAGGTAGGCTAGCAGCGATTATTGGGGACATGCGGGCTAGTGGCCTTTTCGCGAAGCGGGAGCTAGCAGAGATTTTTGTGGAAAACCGGGAAGCACAAAATATTTTGGAATTAGGGGCAGCGTTACGCTGGCTTGCAGAAATTATTCAGGAAAACTGGCTGCTGAGACCAAGCTAGCACAGATTCTTGAGGAAAAATGGTGAAGATTTTGGGGCCATCTAGCAAAGAAACCTTAGGAAAATCGAAAAATGATTGGGTAAGCTAGCAGAGAATCTTTCGGTAATAGCAAGGCTAGCAATAGGCATACTAGCAAAGATCTTTAGAGACCTCTCCCTACTGTACCAAAAACAACAATGTTGCAATTTCCTGAGTACCGTAGTCTCTTGGACAAGTCGTCGAGGCCAAAAATGGGGCCAAAAAATCGGGGTCCCAAGCGCCACACGCGCGCAATTTCCGGCAGGCCAGCTGGGGGTGGGGGGCTGCGTACATTCCGTCAAAGTTGGAGGGGAGATGGCGGCAGATGGGAGGAGGAGGAGTCCGTCAATGGTAATGAATCGGAAAAACGGGGGTCAGTCTATGAAGTAAAATCGGCTTGACAGCTGGATTGGACAGCTGGATCTATTTAAGGTAGTACGGTTTTTTAAAGGGGCTGGGAAGTCAGAATTTTTAGTTTCTAAATGTGGCAAAGAACTGATGGCCTCACCCGAATAGCTTACGACATGTAAAGTAGTCTGCGCCAAATGTGCCTAAAGCATCGCAAAAAAACTATCGATGGCTCCGGTTCGGCTGGGAATCCGAGGAATAGCTTACGACATGAAATCAGCCTCAAAATTCCCAAATGACCTTTGCCAGCATGCCCTCTCCTCGAAATGCTTGCGAAAAGGAAACTGGCGTCAGACTTCAAAACCTCCAAAGGGGTTTCAAAAGACTCCAAATTTTTCCCAAATGGTCTCTGCTAGCCTGCCATTTCGCGTCTAATCGATTACGACACAAAATTGAATTAAAAAAGCAGTGGAAGGTGATCCCAAATGACCTTTTCCAGTCTGCCCATTCACAAATTCACAAAACGACCCGGAAATAAGGCTTCAAAGCCATCCAAAAATTTCCAAAATGGTATCCGCTAGCCTGCCATTACGTCTAATAGCTTACCAAATGCAATAGTTCGTAAATAGGTAATATAAAGTGGTCCCACGTGATCTGTGCCGTGTTCCGGAATCGCTGACGGCATGAAAACCCCAAAAATCATTAAAAACCGAAAAATCTGCCATATTTTAGGGCACTGTATATACGAGGCAAGGTGTGTGCGTGGTAGAGGTGTTGAAAAGGGGATTGACGGGGGAGGGGGAGCAGATGAGTCAGAAGAAGCCCTTATCGGAGCCCCAGAAGGGGAGGAGAACGGCATGGGAAAATAGGGGCAGAAGAAGAAGAAGTCGGTGGTCAGGGCAGGTGAGTCATTTGGAAAGCAGGGGAACGGTCAAAGGGAAAAGCCTAGTGGAGATATACAGGACTCGGAATAATAGGACAGCTAACGAATCGGGGCTGCGGCTACGGTAGCTGGGTCGTTGTTAAGAAAACAAAAGGAATTTTTGATGGATCTGGATCGACGAATGGCGAGAGAGACAGAGAGACGGAAAGAGAGAGAGAGAGAGAAGACAGAGACAGAGACAGACACAGAGAGAGAGAGAGAGAGCGAAATATTCAAAAACACGCAGCCCATCCAAGATTTCCCCCAAATCCATCTTCATAAGCGATTCCGCTAATTTCCTATGGACGCCCCCGCCGACAGGGTGGTAAAGGATGGAGCAGCTGGAAGACGGATCACATCGGATCATCGCTAGGAGGAGCAGGGGGAGGGGCCGGTGGGTGGGCCCCTAATTGACCGGCATCGTCCAGCTTGCCTTGTCCCACAGATGTCCTTTCGGGGTGACATGTAGAGTTTATGCTGCCGGGAGAGAGAGAGAGAGAGAGAAAGAGAGAGAGAGAGAGAGAGTGAGAGGGTGAGTGAGAGAGTCAATCAGAGAGTGAGAGAGAGAAGAAATAGAGCATTTCTATGTTGATCCAATCCCAAAAAAATATCCCAAATACCGGCGGCTACGGCAAAAAGGAATTCCCGAGATGGCGTAACCCGATGGGGGCAATGAAGGGCCCTTGGCCCCGGAGTTGAAGTGGCCCACAAAGGGCCCATCACCCGTGAAGATAGGGGGCACCTGGGTGAGGGGTAATATTTGCATGCTTTTTGCAGTATCATCTCTCTCTGACGCTCTCTCTCTTTATCTCTCGCTCTCTCTCTCTCTCTCTCTCTCTCTCTCCCTCTCACTCACCAGGTTCAGTAGATAACGGCAAAAGCGCCTGCGCCGTGCACCCCGAGTAAATTCGTTGCAGGTGCAAAATCCTCAGAAGCTTAGGCTTATCGAAAGGGATTTTGATCCGAAATTTTTGAGCAAAAACCGTTCCGTAATCAGGGAAGTGCAGACAAGGGCATTCTAAGTTGAGCTCGAGATACCTTGTGGAGCATCGAGCATGAAAAACCGCGATACAATAAAGAAACCCTGAACCGGCTACGCTTTTGAGTTGGCCTAGGCTTCGGCTTCGGCTCCGGCTTGGTTTAGGCTTCGACTTACGCTGATGTTTAGGTCTAGGGTTCAGCTTATGCTTGGGCTTAGGTTTAGGCTTGGGATAGGGCTTGGCTTAGGCTTAGGCATAGGCTTGGCATAGGCTTGACATATGCTTGGTTTAGGCGTGGCTTCGACTTGGGTCAATTTTTAGGTCAATTTAGGTCTTTAGGTCAATTTTTCGCGGTGTTCTTGAGCCTCATCCCATGCATAAACTTGCGCAAGGTGGGCAGACCCGGGGGCCATCTTGATAAAATTGGCGGGTTGAGAGTGGAGCCGGTGGTCGCCGCCTGAGAGCCGATCATTATCGATTCGGTTGATTTATGATGGGCAGGGAAAGGGTGGAATAGGGCCCATAATAGGGGACAGACCCCCGAAGATCGTGCAGCCAACCCTGGGCCTGTTATGTCACAATCCTGGGGGGCTGCACCGGGCCATCATCACGACCATCTGGGGCCTGAGTCCAAGACTGTGGCCCCAAAAAGTGAGATGGATGACAGGAATTGAAGTCATTTTGTATGCAAATAGCGGGCTGGGTCGAGATTTGAACGGCAAGAACAAAAATCCCTCAAATTTCTCTGAGGGTTAGCCTGAAACCTACGGCAAAAGAGAGCGGAATAGATCTAGGGAAGGAGATAGACAGAAAGAGAGCGAGAGAGAGAGAGAGAGCTAGATAATGAGAGAGAATGCGAATGAGAAGGAGCGTCCCACAGAAAAATTCGGTCGCTAAGCTGTGGGAAATGCCCATATTTGTGCATGCGGCCCTTCAAAAAAGACAGGTGAGATCCCCGGGGCGCGCGGGGGCCCCCAAACAAAGCGTGAAGAAAATGTCGGACACGCGCAATCCCCCCGCGCGGGTAATCGTCTTTGTTTTCGAACGGTCCCTACCAACGCTATCGTTTTATTTCTCTCTCGCTCTCTCTCTCTCTCTCTCTCATCCATTTCATTCCTCGATTGAAATACCGAGGGACAGTGCCGACAAATCGATGGTGGGGGCGATTCAAAAGTGTCATAAACGGTCCCCGGAGGGAAAGCAGAACCCCTCATTTGAATGCAGAAAACCGGAGGGAAATGGAATGGCATTTTCAGGACGTCATCGTTGGATCAAAAGGGCCGCTATCGCACCAGCGTAGCTTGGGATATCTGGGTTTAAAGGGGGCTGGACCTACTGAAATATTCGTCGCAGCTAGGAATGCTTTTTTCAGCTTGTCAAGCCCATTAAAGGGATGTGGAAGGCTAGGTAAATATCTCTCGCAAAATGGAAACCACTGGACAAAGCTGCTTTGGCTTTGTCGTTACATTTGTGATACTGCCTTACGGTTACGCTGTGCTACGTTATACTACGCCACATTACCTTAGACTACGTTACATTACGATGCGCTACGGTAGACTACGTTAAATTACGCTACACCACGTTACGGAAAAACCAAACTGCGCATTAATTTGCTGCACTACGCAGCGCAAGGCTACGCAAGTTACGCTACGTTACGCGTCGTTATGCCACGTAAGTCATATAGATAACTAAATTACGAAAGTTACCTAGAAAAAAGCCAAGAATTGGATTTCATACTCTTTAAAGAGACGGCGACACTTAAAAAAGGTGAAAATCGGATAATTCGTAATCTTCGAGGTTTTCTACAGGGTTTCCTGTAAAAATTAGCATAGCACAACGAAAAAAATAATGGAGTGTTGGGTATGAGATTTGCGGATCGGAGAGACCGAAAAACAATAGGAGACCCTCGACGA